TGAATATTTACGTCAAAAAGTGCTATCATCTCCAAAATTTAAGAAACTTGATCAAAATGTAATATTAAACTGAAATAGCTATTTCTTGAAGAAAATTCATTTAAAAAATTATGAAATACAACTTACCTATCTAAAATAGATTTCACTGAATTAAAAACTATACAGGGTGTTTCAAAGACATGTGCCATCTCTCGTGGGGAGATTCCTCACGTAAAAATAAGATTTATTTTTCATATCAACATAGGTCCGATTCTGCTTTGTTTCGTAGCTACAGGGTGAACCTCTTAATATTTTTTCGATTTATTGTAATGTAATGGTATTGTAAAAAAAGCATGTACGCCACTGACCTTTTTTTATCTTGTTAGTAAAATAGTGTAAGCAGTTTAATGCCGATTAAAAGTTGTCTCTTGATATTTTATCGATTTCGGCCTCCTTGATGAGATAAACGCAATTATATTAATTTGTCTTGATCCAAACATCCTTTAAAAAAATAATAATTTTCGCAAGTTAATATCATTAACTTGTGAAAGTTTTAAATAAGTACCTACTCATTGATTCCTCATCAAAAAATATGAAAAAAAGTTCCTATAAACATGGATATGGAAATGCATAGCTTTTGAGTTACAGGATGTTAAAACTTTTTAAAATTAGGTTTTTTTTAATTATCACATATCATATTGAAATTGCTGTAGGTTACACTAATAGTAATAATAACTAATAGTAATAATATTTAATAATAAATTAGGTGAAATATATGATTTAATAATCTTATTTTTATTTTTATTTTATTAAACGTGATTAATAAAATACCGTTTATCTCATCAAGAAGGCCGAATTCCACAAAATATCAAGAGATAGCTTTTAATTGGCACTAAACGGCCTGCATAATTTTTATATCAAAAGAAAAAAGTCAGTGACGCACATGCTTTTTTTTAAATATTCCAGTAGTAACCTATATGCACGTCCCTGGTGAATTTATCTCCACTTTTTTAGTATTAAAATATGAAGCACTTATAGTAACTTTTACCCTCAAAATTTCATTCGAATCACTAAAACTATTTGGAAGAAAATTATAATACATCGCAAAAATATTAAGATTTTAACACCCTGTAGCTACCAAACAAAGCAGAATCGGACCAATGTTGATATGAAAAATAAACCTTAATTTTACGTGAGGAATATCCACGAGAGATGGCACATGTTTTTTGAAACACCCTGTATAACAATATTTCGCCACTCTAAAGCTCTTTCTCTAAAAGTCTACACCATTTTCTCAACTAAAAAAAACTCAAAACCCTTTTTTCTTCCCCCACCAGTTTCTCAACTAATCTCAAAAAATATATAAAGTATTGTCAGTGATGATGAATCCAGGATTTACTCTTATGAAGCCAAAAATAAACGTCAATCAGCTGTTGGAGTGTTCCGAGATGAACCAAAACCGACAAGAGTTATCCGTTCTCGAAGTGTTCCCAAAAAGATGGTGCATTTGTCTGAAAATCGGGTCGTGTAGCAACAATTCTTCTGCAACATCAAAGAACTGTTGCTGCTGATTGGTATGTATCTATTTGTTTGCCGGAAGTAATTGCTGAGTTTCCAAAAACCAACACTCAGCGACGCCATGGTCCTCCACCAAGACGATGCAAGTTCCCATCCCATATAGCTCGATAAACAATTGAGTTTTTAAAGCAAGAAAACATCGAAGTGTTGGACCATCCTCCATAGAGTTCCGACCTAAATCCTAACGATTTATTTACTTTTCCAAAAGTTAAGAATAAACCGCATTTGAAGGTACCGTTTGCAGGTACTGATAAGCGAGTGAAATAACCGCTTTCAGAATTGGTTCCCACGGATGCAAAAATGCATTTCTCTTCATGGAGAATACTTCGCAAAACAATAGTGTTTAAAAGTTATCTACTGTTTTTTTTCTACCTCTATATGCAAAATATAAAAGACAACCCTCGTATTTCAGTACAGGTAGTTGGTTTTGGACTGTATACTAGTGTGCACCAAAAAAATTTTTTTTACTTACTGTCAAAATATCGTCCATGATAATGAAAGAAAATTCTGGTAAAGTTTGAGCCCTTAATATTAATATTAAGAGGTGTCTCATCGTGATTTTCTATTTCCCATTTGAATAAAACCGGAAATTTTGTTGAATTTTATTGCTTTCTAACAAATCAGCGTGTTGTAAATATCAATACAGATTCTTGTGATTCCTGATTATTGTAATTAGCGATAATATTATTGTTATATTATTATTTTCAATGTTTTACCAAAGAACACTTGATGAACTATACGAAAAATAGGATATTTTATGTTTTTGAGTCATTATTTCATGATAAAATCTAAAAAATTGTGGAAGTTATCATAATATACGATTTCAAGTTGAACTTTAACCTTTAATAACTTTCAAAAGAGTGCATTAAACGAAAAATCATATCAGACCTTTTTTGAAGACCGTTCAATTTCCTACAAGACTATGTATTGATTTTTCAATCTGCCGAATTGTTAGAACGCAATAAACTCCCCGTGTTATTTAAATGGGAAATAGGAAATCATGATGATTAATACATATTAAGACCTTAAACTTAACCATTTTTTTTCATCATCGTGAACGATATGTTCACGGTAATTAAAAGAATGTATACACATTATTGTATACTAAAATAAAGATGCATTCGTAAATGTATGTATGTAATGTATTAGAGATCTTTAGAAGTTCAGGAGAAAAATAGAAATCGTAACTAATCCTAGAATTCTAGATCAGTTGTTTTATTATTCTGTGCATCTGCTAAAATTAAGTGTTTGATTTGGAATAAACCTTTTCTCAACAACAATAATCATTTTTTAATATAGATTTTAATTGCTGAACGATGTGGGATCAGTTCAGCGGTCGTATGATAACAATAAATAACTTTTATTCTTTACTGTTATTTAACGTTATTTCTTTTATGAGTATTTTGAAAAAAATATACATTCAAATCTACTCATTTATATTCTAAAACACATCAGAATACAGAAATTCGCACATGTAAGAGAAATATAATATATAATTCGATATCCTTTGAAGAGAGAATTGCTAGAAATACGAAATGAGAACGCAACTCCTACGCCACTGCTCGATGTTTTTGACCGCGAATACGATGCACTTTATGCAGAAAAGGTCAAAGAACCGCCGAAAACGAATTCATTATCGGGTTCTTGTTTACGAGCGAGTTTTGCCGGCAAACTTTGGACTTCTAACGAATCGAAAGATTAATCTTAAAACCCAAAGTTTTAATTAGAAAAGTTGTAATATTAGTTTGCTATAAGTAGATTTAAAAATAGAAATAAGATACCTACATAAACCGGATTTTCTTGTAAAAATACTAAAGTTTATTGACATCTGTAATCAATGAACCCACAAATATAAACATCCATGATACAGGAAATATTCAAGTTTAAAATTATGTTTAAACACCTGTTTCTAGAAAATCCTTTTCAGAAAAAAAATAACACACAGGTTAAATACTTTTTCTCGGTTTTCACGTCTAGGATAGGACCATTTCCTAAAATTTTACACTTTATTTTAACCTGCGTCTAAACTAACAAGGCTTGCGTAAACATCTGTTATCCAAAAACCACCCTAAACTGCATTTCATAGAATTTTATAAAAGCAGCAGGTCAAAATAGAAAATACGTACTTGAACCCCTACATCGCTCTACAAAGATTTGTTTGGCTAAACATATATATTTTTTATTTTAAATTTTTAAACTCTGATATTTTTGTTTGCTTTATATTATTTTAATAAGTTAGTGCATATGTGTTTATTTTTATTAAATTTGTTTTATTTAAGTAATTATAAAAATCAATTACAAAAATACAATATAATGAATGGTGCAAAATTTGCTTGTGGTTACACAAACTGGTTAGCGCAAGTACTTTATATAATTTTTTTATTATATGCAATTATTTTATGTAGGTATACCGGGTGCGTCTCAAAAGTGGCTCACCCCTATAAGTTTTTTATTTTTCTAAATAAAAAAAACGAGATTAGGTTTGTTATTATATGACATACCTAAATTAGGATTGATTGACGTATTCAGTTGTTTTCCGTCGCTTCCTGTTTCACGAGGGTCACCCGGTCACCCACGTTCCATTTGAAAAAATTGAGATATCTATCTAGTATTTCCCAAGGTTTCTTGATTAAAAAATTAGTATTTTTAACACAGCCATGGCACTCTAGATTTAAATTTATAATACAACTTTTTTAAGCAAGAATGTCAAAATTTGACATATGATACATATATCATTCTATTCAGAGTGTCATTTTCTATCGAATAAAGTAAAAAAATACCGAGTGTGCCATTTAAAAAATCAAAAGTTGTAGTCATTTCCGGTGAAAAAGGAAGTGACCGAAAATAATTGAATATGTCAATCAATCCTAATTTATGTCATATACTAACATACCAAATCTCGTTTTTTTTTTATCTGAAAAAATAAAAAAGGTATAGATGTGAGCCACTTCTGAGACGCACCCGGTATAAAATTTACATTTAATCTACATTAAACAATTTGGATATTATAAAACAGTACAATAACAGATAAATAACGAGAGAATAACCAAAGTACCAATTCAATCACACAATTTTTACATAAAAACATTTATTAAATTGTATAAACCAAAAATTTACGATTTATGATTTATGTTTATATTATCGCCTATTTTTTAGTAAAAATATATTTAAAAACAAATACATATCCCAGTAATGTCCATAGATACAGTTATCGAAAGTATTTGATGACTGATAACGGCGCCTTTCATAAAACAAAGTTGTATTTTTGCCAATAAATCTGTGATCTAAAAAGACTACTTCAACCAAAACTCTAAACCTTTGAACTCGTTGGCACGGTGGCACCAAAACATTTCAGAAAATATCCGGTGCAATTCAAGTACGTAAACAAACGGCGTTTGGTCACGAACTCGACGAAACTTCAAAACTATTATGACAGTACTTACATGTTCTGTCTCCTGCGGCAGATAATACTCCATTTCTGCTCAACGGTACCTGTCCCGAGGCGTTTCTAAACAATTTCGCTAAAGTGCCGGCCATAGTTTTGTGTTTCCTAACCTAACAAAACCGTAAATGTGTTGCGGAGGAGCGGTTGCCTGTCGTTCGAACCGTATTTTTATCAACAACCGGTGCATTCGACGTCGGCGGCCGTCACTCTGTTTCTGTAGCGCGAGCCGGTTTTGCGCACTCTCTCTTTCGTTTCGTTTGGATTTCGTGTACATGCAGGTTTCTAAACGTATACTCGGCCAATCTGGAAGTAGTTTAAAAAGGAACAGAACAAAATTAAGTAAAACTTTTTTTCTATGTCTATAATTTATGTTATTTTTTGTCAGTGTCAAAATCATTAAAGTGACAGTAACTGTTGGGTGACATTTTTAGGAGAATAAATAATATACGAGTGTAGGTATGTTGAGATGGCGATGTAAACTTAAAGACAGATAACCCTTGATCCCTGGAAAATATAGAGTTTGGACACCCATCTGTTAAAAAATATATCGTTTCAAAGGTTGTTTATTTGCAATAATATGGCGATTAAACAAACATAATATGTATTTATATTTATTGATAAAAATTTTAGGTACCTATTCAAATAAGGGCGTTTGTAGCCGCTGACCTAGCGGGAGGCAATTGGCATAAATGGAGGGGTGTTTCACTATTGGAATTACCTGTACATTTTCTTAGCAGTCATTGACAGACTTACGGCAGTCGCTTACTAAAATTACATGGCAGTTATAGGCAGTATTCTTCGCAGTCATTGGCAGTCGGTGGCCGAAAATATTGCAGTTTACATATACTGACTTACATATATTTATACTTACAAAAGTAGATTCCTAGATTTTCGTTATACTTACGATTCTATATGTGAAAGGAACATCGGAGATCAGGCGAATAGCCAAGCAGTACAAAATTAAAACTGCTTTTAAGTATAGGACTACTGTCAAAACAAAAAAAAAACAGAATCATCAAACCAAGAAAAAGAGTGCATCTAGCAGGTGTACCTTACGAGTGCGGTGAGTCGTATATTAGAGAAACAAAACGTCCTCTACATGTACTACTTGACGAACATTAAAAGTATACGCAAAGAGGCGAAACAATGAAGTCAGGCATTGCAGATCATGTGTGGGCAAAGCACTCGGTTTGTCCACAAAGAACCCCATTGGAAAAAGCGCAGATTTAAAGAGGCCGTATTTATTTCTAACAATAATAAAATCTTTAGCAATCCAAGTATGGTATGTAAACATTAAAAAAACATAAACACTGAGCGAGAATAAGTAAAATAGGTAGAAAACAAAACGAAGAAGATATGTGTTCTAAAACAATGTAAATCTATAAATGATGATGAAACATACTAGAAGAACAGACAAAGGCTATTCTTAGCTATTCTAAGCTATTCTTAACCCATTCTTAGCAATTTTGGGCTGCGTTGGGACTGTAACAGAAAACTGCTTCATTTCTCCTTTTTAGAGAAATCGTTCATTTCAATTTGCTAATATTTATTTTTTTGTTAGTCTAATTATATTCTAATTAATTAAAAAAAGCGAATCATGCTTTAGCAAATTATGCATCCAATTTACATTTCATATTTTCACTATCACAAGGATAATTTCTATTAATCTTGTTAGGAGGGGCGGATACAGGAATTTATTTTAGGGGGTGGGGTTAAAAAGTAATGTAGAATATGCTTTTTAGGTCGCCATTTTTAACACAAAAGCATAATATTTAACCCAATTAACAGATTTTAGAAGGGGCCGGGCCCCATTGGAACCCCTCTGTACCCGCCGTTGCTTGTTAAATTTGATGATAGAATTTAAGTAAAATCGGTTTTCTTATAATTGAAATTATTGTATTAAAATTTTTTGAAAGTTTTTATTGATTTATTATATTACAGAGATAGATATATTATAGAATTATAAGATAATTATTATATATTTTATCTCAGGAATGAAAAAGATATCTACATCTTCGATTCCCAATGATACTTCGCATTATCCTTATATTATCACAGACTAACCTATTTAGTTTGTGGTATTATCATTAAAACACATGTTAATGTGTAATTTAGATCTGTAAAACAGCTTTCATTAAATAAGTAAATAAAAATGTTTTAATTTTTTTAGATACTTCTTTTTAGATACAAATATGATATAATGTAGATGATTTGTGTCCGACTCCATGACATTTTTATTAAATGATGAAATAAAATTCCGCCATGTTGGCTAGTGATAGCGTTTTAAACTAAAAATATATGTTTTTTATCGGCTGTTGAGCTTTTAAACTCATAACGCGTTCTACTTACATTGATTTATATATTTTTATTTTCAGAACCGTGATATACAAATAAAAATAAAAACCTATATTTCAAACAAAAATATTCTGTAGCAACAAATTATGATATATAGAAGGGACATTAAAAATATAAAAGTACATTATTAAGTTAAACAATGAATTTGCTTTTGCAATACATTTTTTGGCGAGAAAACCTAAGAACAAAGATATTAACACAAAGAAATTATGGCGGAGATCGACATTGTTGATGGTTGTTTTTATTTTAAAATCCACACACAGATATAGGCTATTTTAGTTTAGTATTTTGTTTCTTCGCATTTAGAAACAGGGGCTGCTGAAAACGGGAACATCTTGGACACAAACTGCAGAAAATGTTTCGAAACATTTCCTCTAAAAGTTTTGATTCCGCATCGAAACATTTCAGGAAACGGCTAGTGCCACCACATTGGAAAAAATGTTTCCTATTTGGGGCATATTATTGTATATAATATAATAAAAATTAATATGTAATTTGTGTCAAGAAACAGGCACAATTATTAGAAACATTATCTAAAATGTGTACAAAAATGCTAATTGGGAATGGCACAATGGAGGACCATTGGATAGGTTTCTTTTTAATTATGTTTCTTTTTCAGCCATTGTTCCCACTGTTTCCGGTCATGTTTGCGCTTGACAAGAGAACCTTTTAGCTGAAAATAGCCTTAGAAAAGACGAAAAAAACGCAAACGTCGGCAATTTTTTAAATAAATGCTTTTTTACTTCCTGGACCTAAACCCGCTAACGCCATTTTTTTCATATTAACCATTAACGTTTAAACTGAAAAATTGCATTAAGAATTGCTTCTATTGCTTCAGCAGTCGCCATCTACTCCCATGTACACGTTTTCGCTCTCGAAAATGATTGTTTCAGTGTCCTGTAGTCGGCAAGGCATCGGAGGAGTTCAGTGTCTACCTCCCGGTTTCGATGCACTTTTCAGCCGGTTTGACCTGGGACAGCCACCTTCACGAATCCGCACCAGTCTCTGATAGAACAATAGAAATTTTCAGTAGTGCTACAATTTCGCGCCGAATTTATTATATTCCGGTAAGTATATATTATATTTTACCAAAAAAACGGACAAAAATCGAGAGCAAATCGTAATTATTCTAGACTGTATCTATACTCTATTTATATGAACTCGTTGAGAAAGTTTCGCTAGTGGTCTCGGTCGTTATGCATTTTCCTAATTTCTATAGCTGTGTGTGAAATAGGAATATCTATGCGCGTTTTCGGTTTTCTGGTTATGAAGTTTCGGGTTCTATTGAAAAAATATTTATACAGTATGTCCCCGGATGTTGTCTTTGCAAGAGACCTTTTTATTATTGACATTTTGGGAAAAATGAATTTTTCATAAAAATTTAGTTGAATTTTTGCTAAGTCTTAAAAATCAAATCACGTTTCTATGGTAATATAATTTTGTTTTCATTCTCTGGTAGATTGTTATTACATTATTACAATCTACCAGCGAATGAAAAATTCTATCAATAGATATAATTTTATTTATCGTCATATTTTTTGCTGTTTTAAAATGAAGCACAAAATTTATTTAGTGCAATGTGCAATACAACGGAAAGGGTGATAATAGTTATTATACATTATATTACCTGATTTTTAGGTCTAAACAAATTAAACCATATTTTTATGTTTTCTTTAATTTTCTCTAAAACGGTAAGGAAATTTGGAAAAGTATAAACGGGATTAACCATTTTAGATCAAGTAAATTTTTTTATGAAGAATGCATTTTTTTCAAAATGTCAATAATAAGAGTTTCATTTTGTTTAGGTTAGGTAGTGACAAAGGTAGTGCTTAGGCAATGCCTTCTATTAAAAGATCAGCCTACGGGCGGACTTTTGTTTACTTCATCAGCTGTACATACTTAGATATTGGGTTAGATTCCGTTTCATATTTTGTCGGTTGATTTTTGGTTTTAACTCTTTGATTTTTGGTATTATTTATTATTGTAGTGCAAAAAACTAATTATTTTGGTGTTGAAGTGACATAAACTACTACCAGATATATGGTCACTCTCGGTTTCGCACAAAAAAATAGAAATTTTAAAAATTACACGTTGTGCAAGTGATTTAACCTAAAAGTGCCCATACATTTTTTACTTATCGTGATTTTTTGTGTGTGTTTTTAAGACTCTAACAATTCATCAATAAAGCTTAAGTGGAGTGTGTTATTGGTGCTATGCCTCATCTTTGTTGTGTTCCCTGGTGGAAAGGATGGTTACTAAGGATAGTTATTATACTAGGCAGCCTAAAGTGTCCGGAAGAGCAAGAAAAGTGGGTACGAGTTATAAATCAAGAGAATTTTATTGAAAATATCTTTAATAAATTTAAAAATAATATTCTCCCATGATGGTATTAATGAAAACTGGACAATTATGTTTATTTTATTCATATTGTGGAATCTCCACTCCAAGTGTTGCTGGTTCAGCTTCGATAGATTCAAACACGTAAGTAGGTATTATGATCTAGGGAAAAATAAAGAATATGTGTATTAGAGATCATGAAAAGATTATTATTTTGAGTTCAAATTTTAAAAAGATTTTTGTAAAAACAAGACTGATACAGTTTAAAAGAAGAATGTGTTTTTTGTTTGATAATATATAATGTATGTTAAGCATAACATATATTTGTTCAGTAATTTTTAATGAATAGTATTGATTATTTATAATACCAAATTAATATCAAATATTTAAGTGATGGCTGAATACAATATGAATAAAATAACAATAAAATTGGTATATTTGCATAATACAAAATTAAGTTTTAAGAATAAAGGTGTTACTAAAAATACTAAGAAATTCATATTTCTTTGTTTTAATTGGTCTAATGTTATTTACATTTTACGTAAGAATTATACCGTATCATCGAAAAAAATCGGCGTCTAGTCGGCTTGAAATGAACATCGATGACATTCCTAAATAACTGTACACATAAAATAATTAACTAGAATTTTACAATCTTGGAAAATTTGATATTCTTGAACCTTGATTCTAAATATTCTAAATTTTTTGATTTTCTTGGAATTTAGGTTCGGGAAAACGCTGATTGATTTTTCATTTGGTTTTTCAGTATTTTTATTTGGTTTAAAAAAAAACGGTTCGGCTAACATTATAGCCTCCATCAGTGTTGTGTCATATGAAAAAAATAGTGTCGAATATAATCCAAAATTGCATATAAAATATGCACACCACGCACATAATGTTTACTGCGTACTCCATAGTCAATGTAGATAATTTTAGTGTTAAGAATAATAATTTTAAAAAATATGTGGTCATCTTTTGATAAGTTTATATTAGTTTATTAATTGCAGTAAACATTATGAGGTGTGAATTATATTGTATATGTAATTTTTTGGATTATATTCGACACTATTTTTCTCATATGACACAACACTGTGAAGGCTATAGTTAGCCGAAACGTTTTTTTTTTAAACCAAATAAAAATAATGAAAACCCAAATGAAAACTTAATCAGCGTTTTTCCCGAACCTAAAAATCCCAAGAAAATCAAAAATTTTAGAATAATTTAACATATAAAATGCCAGCGATCTTCATTTCATAGCCATCGCTGACGCCTTTTTTTAGATAATATTGTATTATTTGTAAATATAATTTTTCGAACATTGATACTTGCAAAATATACATATAAATTTTGTGAATGCAAATAATAATACATCACTATTAGTAGATATTCAATGTTTTTGTTAAATTAGATCGATTTTCAAACCCCAAAATTTAAAATATATTTACATTTTACCCATTATCTTATGTACCTATACATTATTTGTACATTGTAAAACATTTGCTGCATATGTATGGTTCATAGTTTATTTGCCAAAATATTTATTACTATAAATAGGTATATATGTTGTAGTTATTAACTGTATATTATGTATATTTCATTTAAACTATATCATTTTTAAAATACAAACCAAAAATCTGAGGAATAATTATGTTTTCCATGTATTCTACAACATATTTATTAATCCGTTATATCTAACTAGCGTGACGTCATAAATCTCGCCCGTAGGCTGATCTTTTAATAGAAGGCATTGGCTTAGGTTTTTCCCTCAGTTTTTCCTTAAAGTATTATATTGTTAATATTTTTTTTATATAAAATTTATATACATTGGTGTGGGTATATTTTGTTATTTTTTTATTTCCATGACATTTCCTCTGATAATTCTTTTGTTTATTATATTCATGTGATCCTTGTTTATATCAAGGATATGGTTATATTAAATATTATTAAATAAATGGAGTGCGTGTTTCAAATAATTAAATTCGCTATAATTATTAATTCTCAATTTGACATACTAAAGCAAAAAAATGTAAAATATACTATAATATATATCAACAAAATAAAACACTGAACACTGATTCACCACAATACACCAAAACCATTTTTGTTGTAACACTAAAGGTTCCAACCCCCAACCGTAATACAGGGTTGTTCACTACATACGACACGGAGTACTGTAGCTAAACGATTAGATTTTTACAAATTGTAAGTTTTGGGTTCGTTGAAGGACTATTAGAGCTACAATTTAAAAATATTTTTACCAGATGCAGAGTGTCCCAAATAAATAAAAAATATCAAAGTTATATTTTTTTAAATGGAACACCCTGTATATTATTATATTTTTAGTTTCTACAATTAAAATAAAGGTAAATTTGATTACGGTTTATCATACTTAAAGCTTACCGTTTTTGAAATATTTTCAATTTTGTGAAATTGCAGTAAAAATTTTACGGGTTCATTTCTCCAAGGGTATTAGAGTTTTTAATACTAAATATTTACTGAAGTTAATATAATTAATATATATATATATATATATATATATATATATATATATATATATATATATATATATATATATATATATATATATATATATATATATATATATATATTATTTATTGATCAGTTATTGTGTTGCGATAATAAAAATAATACTACCTTATACAGAGTGTCTAAAAATTTATTTTAAATAACTTCTAGGTTTAAACGGCAATAACTTGTTTAATTTAAACGGAACACCCTGTATATTTTTGGAGAATCAGATGCACATAATGCATGTACATGTAAACATGTACACAATGTACAGGTGCTAAAAACGATAATATTACTAGCCCATTTGTATACAAAAAGAAAACTATTTAAATCTTTATAAAAGAGTATACCATTAATTAAATATACCACCTTTATTTCCGCCTAAATATTAATTAATTACATACTTCATTGTGTTAGTTAATAAATTATTCTAAATATTGGATTTAAAAAAATAAAATATGGATTTCAATCAGAAATCATAATAAAAATAATAAGTTATGAAAATGAACGTCTCTGTTGTTATAAATAAGCATTCATCAAAAAATAAAATAAAGTTGATAAGGTGTTACTTTTTACCGTACTGTCTAATACATATACAAAATTCTGTTTCTTAGTATTTGGAGCAATTATTATTAATCAACACAAACAACGAAAAAAAAAGTCAAATGTAGTTTGAATACTGGAATCATATTGATTGGTCCTCTTTATAAAATATTTAAACAGTTTTTTAAATTTTTTAATGAAATAAACAAACTGTATCGACAATATTAGTCTCTGTACTCTTTAAAAATGTGTTACATCTTACATCAAAAATAATCTAAAATGTTAATATTCCATGGGTATATTGATAAATGAGGTATAAATTATAAGAAAATGCATTTTCTACGAAAGAATCTTGAAGAGATAGGTAGAAAATGGTATAATACAATTTGATAGACAATTAAATTGTGCATCTGATTCTCCTAAAATATACAGAGCGTTTCATTTAAATTAAAGAAGTTATTGCCGTTTAAAGCTAGAAGTTATTTAAAATACATTTTTAGACACTCTGTTTGAGGTAGTGTTATTTTTATTATTGCAACACAATAACTGATCAATAAATAAACTTCAGTAAATATTTAGTATTAAAAACTTTGATACCCTTGAAGAAATGAAGCCGTAAAATTTTTACTGCAATTTCACGAAATTGAAAATATTTCAA